CTCGGCAATATCGCGGGCCTACAGCATCAGGAAAATCTCGAGTTCTTGGACCTCACGGGCAAGAATGACCTAGACCTTCGGGTGAGCTTTTCTTACTTTGCTCGTATGGTTTGCATGGAGTAGAAAATCTGACAGATAACAATACAAGCATTGAAATTGAATCGACTCTTTCAGGATTAGAATCTACATATATGATGTGCAGCCCGGAAAACCCCAGCATCCTATAAAATGACCATGATACAGGAAAAGATGAACCCAACAAATCATCAAGGATATCGGCCTTGGAAACAAGAACGTTATTATATGGTATTTCGATTTCTCTGGCCGCTCTACTCAGCAGTATGAGAGTAGGAAGTAAGGTAATGCAACAATAAACACGGAGTGCGTGTTCAGGATCTGGATTGGACGCATGCCTTCCTGCCAATATCTCAATTGGAAATTCGATATTCTAGTTTGAGCAAGCGCTCAAACAAGTCAGGTGTTCTGAACTAGATTTTCTACGGAGCATGATACAACAATCGGAGCTAGGCTACTTTGGGTAAGCGTGTTCGGGTTAGGGCTCGAATCCCGGGGAAGATCTTCAGAGTGTTGAATATCATTAACCCCGGTCTACTCCGCAGCAACGAAGCACAGAGACAAATTGACAATGAATGGCCACAATACCGATATCATGACCTCCAGCCGCGGCCAAAGGGTGGCTCTCGCCGAATCCAAGAGTCCCATGTCGGCTATCTTCGCCAATCTATACGATAAGGATTCCAACCCTGGCGGGCTATACAATGTCGGGGTCGCAGAGAACGTGCTGATGCACGACATTCTCCTAGAATATATTACCAAGAAACAACCAGATCTGCCAACCAGATACTTGACCTACAATCAAGGCGGCGGAGGCTCGATGCGATTAAAAGCCGCCATCGGCCGTTTCCTGACAAGACATTTTCACCCAGTGAAACCCATCCAACCCGACCATGTGGTGGTGACAAATGGACTGGCCGCTGCGCTTGAACACCTTTCATGGGCACTTGCCGATCCGGGCGACGGTATCCTCCTGGGGCGGCCTTACTACGGCGCGTTTATCCCGGACCTGTCCCTCCGGACAGCCACGGAGGTGGTAGAAGTTGCCTTTGACGGATGCGACCCGCTGGGATCTTCTGCCGCTCAGAGATACGAGCAGGCGCTACTGTACTTTCAGCATCGGACTGGAAAGCAGATCCGGATGCTGGTTCTCTGTCATCCTCACAATCCCCTGGGCCGGTGCTATCCCCGGGAAACCATCATTCAACTGATGCGTTTATGCCAGAAGTACGGGGTTCATCTGGTCAGCGATGAGATATACGGACTTTCCACGTGGGAAAATCACATCGACGACGACGGCAGCAGTCCTCCACCCGTCGAATTCGAATCCGTCCTCTCAATCGACACGACCGATCTCATCGATGACCGTCTCGTGCACTGCCTCTGGGGACTGAGTAAGGACTTCGGCGCCAACGGTCTCCGCATCGGCGCAATCATCTCCCAAACAAATCGGACCCTTCACGCAATCTTATCCGGAACATCACCGTACTCGTACGTCTCCGGACTATCCGACCACGTAGCGGCCAGTCTTCTCGAAGATGACGCCTTCACAACAATGTACATGAATCAGAATTGTCAGCGAATCGCAACATCCTTCCATTTCGCCGCCCGTTATCTCCAAGACCGCGGTATCGAATACGCCACGGGCTGCAACGCGGGCTTCTTCTTGTGGATGAACCTCGGCAAGAAGTACCTGGAGGTTCATCCAGACCGTCGCGCCGAGCTGACGGGGGATGCACTCACCAAGGAAATCATGCGGCTGCTGGTGAGCAAGAAGGTCTTTCTTGCGAGTGGTCTGGCGTTCGGTTCGGAAGAGCCCGGCTGGTTTCGAATTGTGGTTTCGCATCCGGTGGACTTTCTTCAGGAGGCGCTTCGACGCGTTGAAGCTGCGATATGCGAGTAGATTTGTGGATGGGGGTTCCTATGCTAGGTTAAGCTCTAAGCCTAGGGTGAATACTAGGAGTGTCTTCTTCGCTTGCGCGGATCAGATAGTCAGAGGCCTGACTAGTGGCTTTGGCTAGGATATTTGGTGGGACTTTGGACTCGACTTTTTATTTGGGTCGATATACGCAAGTAAGGTGATGTATGATAACCCCTGATTCAATGGGTAGGGCTAACCTCGATTGATATAGTTTGCATGGTGATAGCATTATAGATCCAAACATTAACAATGAAATTCTCTATCAAAACAACAGTCTAAAGCTATCCATGCTATGCAGTCAAACAGAAACAACCCAACGCCCTATCAATGCCACATCATGATATACAAAAACAACTCAAACCAAGATACCAACCAACAACTCAAGCCGCTGCCTGAACAGCCTTAAACTCCTCACTAAACTCATAATCAACATACCCCTTCGGATCCTTCGGCAAATAGAAGACATCCCGCTCATACGGCCGCAACGGAAGCCCAGCCTTGACCATGAACGGTAGATCCGGGTTCGCAGTCCACGGCCGTCCAATCGCCACGACGACATCATGGTCCTTGTAGCGCTTATCAACAGCCTCCTTCGCGGACTCAGGCTGATACCCTCCGGCGACCATCACGGGCCCCGCATTTCCGTACGCATCGACGAAGAAATCCAACGAGTCGCCCGTCTCATGGACGTCCGCGTTCCCGGCCACGCGCGCCTCCACGACATGCACATACGCCAGCTTAAACTCGGCCGTCTTGCGCGCCAGGTACTCGAACTGCGGGAGCGGGTCCGCCATGCGCATCCCCTGGAACGTACTGAAGGGGCTATAGCGGATGGCGGTGCGGTCCGCGCCGACGGCGTCGACGACGCCACGAATCGTCTCGAGGGCGAAGCGGGCGCGGTTCTCGACGCTACCGCCCCAGCTATCAGTGCGCTGGTTCGACGTGTCCTGGATGAACTGGTCGATCAGGTAGCCGTTTGCGCCGTGGATCTCGACGCCGTCGAAGCCGGCGGCGATGGCGTTGCGGGCCGCCTGGACGTAGTCGGCGATGAAGGCGCGGATTTCGGATTCTGTGAGGGCGCGCGGGACGGGAGCGTCTGCGCTGAAGGGCGTCGCGCTGGGGCCGACGAGGTCGAAGCCGTTCTTTTGGAGGAGGTCTGGGCTGGCGACTCGTCCGAGTCCCCAGAGTTGCATGTAGATGTAGGATCCCTTGGCGTGCACGGCGTCCGTCACGGTCCGCCAGGCGGCGATCTGCGCGTCACTCCAGATGCCCGGGACGTTGGGGAAGCCGCCGGCGCGGGGGGAGACGAGGGTGGCTTCGGTGATGAGGAGGGTTCCGGGGACGCTGGCGCGCTGCTCGTAGTGGTCCTTGACGATGGGGAGGGGGACGTGTTCGTCGTCGATGCGGAAACGAGTCATCGGGGCCATGGCGATGCGGTGGGCAAGGGACATGCGTCCGACGTTGATGGGAGCGAACAACTTGGACATGGTGGAGCTTGAATGGAAGTTTTCAATTGGGAATCAGAGAACAGAGAGCGAGAACAGAGAGCAATGTAGAGAGTCTATCCGCTTGAATATCTTAGATATCCCGAATGTGAATGAATTGATGATTTATATCCCCTCCCCAGCGACCACGAGCCCTTATAAATAACACCCCCCGGGGCAACTGGAATCTGCCCGGAGACTTTAGGCAACGAACGCCCTAGAAAACGCCTATCTCGGGTTGATTTCCAATCCGCAGAAACCGAAGATTAAAAAATTAGTGATCCACCGCGCAGGCAAAGCCAATGAGGCGTCGCTGCCTGGGGCGTCCTACGTCGGGGGCTCTCCGGGTCGGGAGATGATTGGCGGAGGGGGGGATGACAAATGGTGAGAAATTCGGAGTTCGGCAGGATTTTTTGATTTAATTTTCATATTATAAATTCCAGATTTTTAATGCTGATTGATTTTATCTTCATTAAAGTTTTCCCTCATGGCGGAGTCTACAATCTATTTTCGATTACGAGGAAGGAGAGCATGACAAATCCATGGATGCAGACAGCACCCTGTGCCCTATCTTTGCCCTTAGCCCTCGCCCCGGACCTTGAGGCTGCACTGTTTGGCCCCCAAGGCTGAGCTTAATTTTAGCGCTTAATGCATGCAGCTCATCGTCATCCCCAGATCAAATGTCAAGCCTTGTTGGGTCTAGGTATACATACTAACTGATAGCCTTACATCCTGCGTGATCTGAGTGGGGAAGGCTATGAGTTCATGTCTACGTATAGCGTCATTGATTGCCTGGCTTGGATGGCCATCCAAGCTGCAAGGCAAATTCAGGCAGACGAGGCAGACGAGGCAGCTGACTGTGGCTTATCTAACCATCTGACTTCACTACTGGGAGATCATCCATCCAGGTGGACATTTGTTCCGTATTCCGTTCCGTTCGCAACACAAGAACATGTTCTTTTCAGTTATGACAATCTTGATCAATTGTCCTCTCGATAGCTTAGATAGCTAGTCAAAGACAAACAAACACAAACACTCAAATCACGCTGATCAAACACTACGCTGAATAACCCTCCAGGAAGATCGAAAACAATGGAACAGAAAAGATCAAACAGGAAATGGAAAAATGCCAATCAATCAATCAGACTCATCCTATTCGCTCATGTCATACAATATTCCCACATGCAAATGATAATGATAATGATAATGATGGAGCTAATGCATCCAGTCCAACTCAGAGACACGAAACGCCGTTCATTCATCCGTAGTCCATCTATCAATGGAATCCTAGACTGGAACACCAAGTCTGGATAGGATAGATGGGTGATGGTGGTTAGGTAGCAAGTAGTCGAAGGGGTATTTCAACGATTAACAGAAAAGAAAAAAATACATAATCAGAACAGATAAAGAGAAAGGAGGAGAAAAGGAAGCTAGCTAATAAACGAGCAAATCCCAAACAGGTCGGTAGAAGAATAAAAAGGAGGGGGGGTGGGAGAAAACGGAGAAAGGAAGAGAGAATCCTAACTCTCCAATCTCCGCGCAGTAGATTCCAACTGCGCATTGAAGGCTCGGATCTGTGATAACAGACCACCCTGAGCTCCAGAGGCCCTGGAGCTCGCGTTTTCCGCAACGTTGCGGAGAAGGAATTCGAGGCCAATGGTTGGGGAGGAAGTAGAAGAGGAAGGATCTTGGGGGATGGTCGAGTCGGCGGGTTGAGGTTGGGGTTTTTTGCTTCGTTCGAGAGCGAGATCGATGTTGTGGAGGGAGTGGTTGATTGTTGAACGAGTCTGTTTTTAAGCGTTTGGTTAGTTTTTGTTTCTGGTTCGATGATGGAGTGGTTGTATGAGAGGGGAGAGGAAAGGAGACTAACAGCTCTGGCATTCTCTTCTTCCGAATGCTTCTGACGCACAGCATCCATACGCAGCGCAACTGCCTCGCGTTCCTTGCGGAGCTGGAACAGTCGAGTGCGCTGATCCAGCATCTCCCGCTTAGATTTCCTCAGTTGCACGCCCAGAACAAAGTTGCTGTCGAGCATCTCACTGAGCTCGTAGAGCCGGCCCTCGAGTTCGGTGCCGTAGGCCTCGACGGCCTTCTTCTTGCGCGCCCATTCCGACCGGCGCGCGGCAATGCCCTCGTTGTCGATGCCGTTGTTCAGCGTCGTGAGCGTCTTTTCGAGCGTTTCGCGACATATTTGGCTGAGGACGTCTGCGACGTTGACGCCACCTCTGTTGGGGAGTTTGGCCTTTAGTCGGGTGGAGAGCTCTTCCGCGGTTTCTTGGTCGTTTTCGTCGTCTTCTTCTTCGTCGGACGAGGTGCCGGCAAGAGGCGCCCCTCCGAGAGATGCGACGTTTGCCAGACGGTGCACAGTAACTGGTACGGTCTCGCCGCGAGGTTGGCGCGGCTTTCGCTTGGGTCGGGAGGTGGTTGCTTCTTCGACATTATCCTGGGTCGCACGTTCTTCAGGCTGGGGTGTTTTGCCGTCCTTCTTTGATTGTGACGGTTTGCCCTGGCCACGTTTGCGAGTCGATGGTTCGGGTTCAGGTTCAACTTCTGGCTGGCGCTCTGTTGCACGCTCCGGTTCAACTTCTGGCTCCGGCTCTGGCTCCGACTCACGCTCTTGGGTCTGTTCCTGCTCTTGTGCTTTTCGTGCTTTCTTGCCCTTGCGACCCGGTCGGGGTATCTCTTCAGACATTTTCGCCGGTTCAGCTGTCTTCTCTCCGCGTCCAGTGCGCTTCGGTTTCTTGTCTGCCGCCGCCTTCGATTTCTGATGTGACTGGCGACTTTCGTCATGATTCGTAGCATTTGTCTCGGGACCACCTTCCACCTGCGTCGGCTGAGCAGCTGGTTCCTCCTCCTCCGCAGCGGGCTCCGGCGTGGGTTTCCTCACGTTTCGGTTACGGGGGCCTCGGGGTTCTCGACGCGGGGGTGATGATTCCTTTGCTGAGTTGTTCCCGGGGGAACCAACCGCCTTCTCTGCCGGTTCCTCGCCTGGTGCCGGGGATTTCTGGGCAGCCCTTTGGGGCCTGCCTCGTTGTCGTTTCGCTGGTTGAGGCTCAGAGGGCACCGTCTCCGCGGGAGTATCTTGAGCTTCTTCCGGTGGTGGATGCTCGACCTCCTTGTCGGCCGTTCCTAATGTGTTAACGCTTTGCGGCGGAGTACGTCCACTCGCACTGGAACCTCGTCTTTTGCGCTTGCCTCTGGTGGCTTTTCGGGGCTCTTCCGTCTGCGAGGCTTGTTTGGTTTGCTGGGCGGTCTCGTTGCCGAGGTCAGGACTGCCGCTCTGGGCAGAACGTGCACCTGCACGGACTCCTCGTGTTTTCCCCTTGCTTGTAGAAACCTCCAGCGGCTGATCTGGCGTTGCATCTTGAGGCGGTTGCTGTGCACTCTCATCGACGGATCTTGGGCTTGCGCTCTTCGAAGAACGTGCTCTTGCGTTGGCACCTTGTTGTTTCCCTTCTCTTGCAGAGACGTCCACGGACTGCTCCGGCGTTGAAACCCGTGGTGATGGTCGAATGCTTTTGTCGATAGATTTAGGGCTTGCACTCTTCGACAAACGCACGCCGCCGTTGGCGCCACGTGTCTTCCGTTGCTCAGCCGGGGCTTCCAGAGACTGCTCCGGCGGTGAAAGTTGTGCGGGCGGTTGAGCGCTATGGTCGGTGATTTCTGGACTTGCGTTCGAGCGACCACCGGCCGAGGCTCCTCGTGTCTTACGCTTGTCACCTGGACTATCAATGGAATCTTCCGACTGGGGAGGTAGCGCCGCTTGCGGGGCATCTTCCTTAGCCACTGGACTTGCGCTCTGCGGTGAATGTTGGTCCGCCCTGGTTCCTCGTTTGCGTTTACTTCTTGTGGAATCGGCAGGCGACGAGTTGTCAATAGGCTGGGATACTGTTTGTTGGGCCGGAGGCGATTTCGGTTCAACATGGTTAGAGTATGGCACCCCGTTCATTTGATTTTCTGGCTCGGTCGTCGGCACATCAGTGGGATCTTCATGAGGCAACTGCTCCGGTGACGGTTCGGGTGCTTGCACCGGTTGTTGTTCAGGTGAGTTCCGGTTCAAGTCTTGGGGCACAGGGGCAGGCTTCGATGCAAGTTCTGGTATAGGCTCGGAACCATTTTCAGATGGCTTGGGCGCGGGTTTGGGTACGTCTTGAGGCGACTCGGTCGGGGCGTTATTGGCGATAGGGGATGTAGCAACTGTCTCAGTCGTTTGAATTTCATATTCCGTTGCATTCGTGGCCGTGGGGACTTCAATTGGTTCGTTAGGGGGTTGGACTGGCGGGGTGGTCTGGGTGCCATTCTGAAGGGGCGAGGAACGACGCGGGGATATCCTTCGATTCGTGGGTGGAGAATCTGTGAAACGAGTAAGCCAACGCCATGCATCGCGACAATTCCACCGTAAACACACCAATCTTCCGTCGTTTGCTACTACGTCCCAGATCCGGCGCCTCATCCGCGAGGACATCGAACCGCGGTGTCCGCTGCGAAGAACTCCGACTGAGAGGCGGAGGGGTGTTCTGTTTCGCCGATTCCAGAGGAGGTTGGGAGCTCTCTGGTTCTGAGGGGGCAGAGGGGCCGGGGGGTCCGTTCGCCAGCTCGGATTGCGACGCGGGTTCGGAGGGTTCCTCGGGCGGCGGAGCCAGACCAAAGGAGAAATCAAAGTCGACTTCCTTGATCTTGCGGGTGCTATTCTCATCGTCTGGACGTCAGTAATCACTCGAGCGCATCAATTGTCGCGCAGACAGAGGGAGGAGGGGCTTACGCTGCTCCGCGCTGCCGCATTTGCCGCCGCTCCTCTCGATCTATTATCATCGGGTTAGTTTTGACGCGACGCGGGACAAGAGGGGAGACGACGCACTGTTATTCATGGTCGAGAAGCGGCGCTCAGCAAGCTCTGCGCGCAAAACCACGCGAGGGGAATGGGAGAAGGGGAAGGGGGAGGGGGACGCGATAAGAAGGGAAAGAGGGAGACAGGTAGTCCGAAGTAAGAGTAGAAGAGGAAGTACTCCGGAGTATGCGATGAGAGAAGAACCCGGAGCGGTTGATGGACTCCGCCCAATGCGGTTTGGCGGCCCCGAAAGGCCCGATTCGGTCGATCGCTTTTTGCGTTCTCTCCGCATCGCCAACTCCCTCCACTTCGCCTTCAGCTGCAGCTTTCGTGTCACACACTCGCTGTTTTCAATTGCAATATCCCCTGTCGGTATCCTTTACTCCCACACGTCCATCGCCACCTACAATGGGTTGGTTCTGGGGCAAGTCCGATCAAGAGGATCCCGTCAAGAAGCTGGACCCGGGTCTCCGAGAATACCTCGAACATGAAGCCCCCAAGAAATACGTCCCTACGACCCCGGAGCCTCCCAAGCCGGTAAATACGCAGACTCAGCCGTCGCAAGCGCCTCCGACCTCCAATGTCGACGAGTCTTCGGAACCTGCGCTGCCCAGCGCCTCGCTCTATCCCGACGGGCGCTATGCCCACCTCTGGAAGACCTACAAGCCCCCGGCCAGCGAAGAATCCCAGAAAGGCGCGGAGCGAGTCATCGAGAAATACAAGCAACGCGGCGATACCGTGCATCGGGCCGCTATGGAGAACTGCGCGTTGGAGCACGAGGACTTGACATACTGCTTCCAGACCGGCACTTGGTCGAAACGGTTGAAGTCGCGCATGTCGATGTGCCACGAGGAGAACCACACCTTCTCTCGCTGCTTTACCACTCAGGCGGTAGGTTCTTGTTCCAGGCTACAGGCTCGGTCGGCTGGTCCTCATAACGTGAGCTAACATGGAGATTGTCCGGTTTAGAAATTCCTCCAGGCACTCGGCTACGCCGCCGCGTTCAACTGGGACCCCGAAAGAGAAGAGCGCATTCAGATGCACGCCGACAAGCTATACCACGAAATGATCACCTACGAGAAGCAGGTCGAGGAAGCCAAGGCAGCGGGTCAGACACCACCCCCCATCGCGTCTCTGTTCAATCCCCAGGCCACGCAGCAGAAATCCGAAGCCACCGCGGATGCGCTGGAAATCCCCGGCGGAGAGGCCATCCCGGCCGGGTTCAAGCCCTCGAAACCCTTGGAAAATTTGTCCCCCCACGAGCGGGAATTGGAAATCCGCTCGCATTATGCACAGATGGAACAACAGAAATTATATGCCGAGGAGGCCTTGCCATTTGTGAAGGCGCAGGATGACGCTCGAAACAAGCGACGGGAGAAAGCTGTGAGCTGGTTCGGCGAGACGGTGGGCAAATGGATCACGTAAAATCAAGATAATTGGATAAAACGGAATATTATGCCCTTGTATTATAATTGTCATCATTGCTTCTTGGTGTTACCCTTCACTGTTCGAAGTGCTTGTGGATGTTTATCTCTGATTTGATAGCGAGTATGCAAATGGACGGCGTTAATAGGAAACATCGATGGGAGGCTGGCTGGATTCAAGAGAATAAAGCTGGAGATTAAGAGTGCTTGTTCACTGTGTTTTTTGGGCATTTTCCTTGATGATGTTGATTTGTGTTGGTTCAAAGTTGGGAGGGAGGAAAGGTGTATACTTCTCCAGTGTCCGGGAATATATCTCTCCTCTTTACATTCACCAGCCAAGTAGAGCTGTAGACATTGGGAACAGCTTCAACAGAGCACGCCCAAATCCCGACCAGAGGGTCAATACAGTCAGACCCCGATTCCACCGTTCAATAAATCTGAATCAGAACCATCCGGTCAATTAATGCTGACGGTCACGTTGTCGCTCATTCGCCCGAACGCGGAGACGCCAAACGACAAGCGAGAAACAACGGCGACGAGGGGGATAAAGAAGAATCCGACGAAGAAATGACAGCCAGACTCGCATCGGCAGGAATCATCCCTCCTTTTCTCCCTCTTTCATCATTCTGCCCAGCCTGACGGACGGTGATCCCCCCCTCATTTAACCGTGTTGGACGGGCCTGTTCCACGGCTCCTGACTACTGGATTCCTCCGCGTTTCTCCATCGCTTCTTCCTTTTGCAACTTCTTGTCTCAACTCTCACTTCCTCCCCCCCTTCCTCTCCTACAAGCTTTATCTCCCGACAATTACTCCATTTCTCATTTTTCAACTCTCGGTGATCGTCCTTTATCTGTCTCCGGGGAGCCCATTGAGCTCCCGTGCTCACCATGAAAGCGACTCCGTTGCTCATCTCGTGGCACAACGACAACGCTCCCATCTATTCGGTACATTTCGATCCCCATGGCAAAGGGCGCCTAGCAACGGCCGGAAAGTAGGTTCGCCTGGTTTTCATTTGCACCTCGTTTCTTCCTTGGAAATGTCACCTGCTAACACGATCTCCTCCGATAGTGATAATAATGTCCGAGTACGAGCTCCATTCCCCTCCCTCTGCCTCGTCGGATCTTTTCTCCTGCCGCTTCTACCCTCCCCCCCTTCGCCGACCTTTTCTGACCTCAGAACGCGATAGTTATGGCGCGTGGAATCTACCGGAGAGGAACGCAAAGTGTCATATTTGAGCACACTAATCAAACACACGCAAGCCGTCAATGCTGTGCGGTTCAGTCCCAAAGGTAGACGGCGACAACCCCCTCTCCCACTGACTGGATCTAACGTTACATTCTAGGCGAGATGCTGGCATCTGCCGGGGATGATGGAAATGTACTACTCTGGGTTCCGTCGGAATTGCAAACCCAAGGTGGCTTGGGAGAGGACCGATCGGATGACAAGGAAACATGGCGAGTCAAACACATGTGTCGGTCGTCCGGCGCAGAGATCTACGATTTGGCCTGGTCTCCAGATGGTGTCTTCCTAATCACGGGGAGCATGGATAACATTGCTCGGATTTACAATGCGCAAACCGGTTGGTAGCCTCAACTTGTAGCTTCGAAAAACCTTCGGAGAGCGTGTGTGCTAATAGTCCGACTCCTCCCTTCTAGGACAAATGGTGCGCCAAATTGCTGAACATTCCCACTACGTCCAAGGTGTTGCATGGGATCCTTTGAACGAATTCGTCGCGACACAGTCATCGGACCGATCCGTGCACATTTACAGCCTGAAAACGAAAGATGGCCAATTTACGTTGACCTCGCACGGGAAATTCTTGAAGATGGACTTGCCGGCCAAACGCATTGCTTCGAGCAGCCCAGCTCCGGACCTCTCCTCGATCCGCTCCCAGCCGGCCACCAGTAACGCGGCCGCGATCACATCTCCGGCGCCGTCTACACCCGGCACCCCAATGGCCTCGAATCTGCCAATGGACCCTCCTCCGGTGTCCCACAGTCGGAGATCCTCGTTTGGCTCCTCCCCGTCCATCCGCCGATCCGCATCCCCTGCACCATCCTTGCCGTTACCTGCAGTCAAGCCGCTTGAAGTACCATCACCGAACATTCTCAGCGGGTTGGGCGTCAAGAATGCCAACATTTACGCGAACGAAACCTTCACCTCGTTCTTCAGGCGATTGACATTCGCTCCCGACGGAAGCTTGCTGTTCACGCCCGCCGGCCAGTATAAGACGTCGCATCTGTCTGTACCAGATTCGGCGAAAACGACGGATGAAATCATCAATACCGTCTACGTCTACACGCGCGCAGGCTTCAATAAACCGCCCATTTCCCATCTCCCAGGTCACAAGAAACCCTCGGTCGCAGTTAAATGCTCTCCGATCTTTTACACCCTGCGACAGGCGCCTCAGCCCGAGCGTCACATCACTTTGGACACGTCCTCCGGGGAAGAGGCGTTCGCCTCCCTCCCTGATCCCATAGTGAGCTCCACGGGCGAACTAAAATCTATGGAGCCGCCGCCACCAGCGCCTGTAGCAAGTGACCCGCCGAGAAGCAACCAACCCCCCAAAGACGATAGCCCCTCTTCTACTCCGACACCGACCCCTGTCTTCAGTCTTCCTTATCGAATAGTTTATGCTGTGGCTACTCAAGATGCCGTCCTGGTTTACGACACCCAACAGCAAACGCCCCTTTGCGTTGTGAGCAATCTGCACTTCGCCACCTTCACCGATCTGACATGGTATGTTGTTTTATTCCATCCCCGTGCGCGAAACCAGTTGCATCCGTTCTAATACCAGCCAGGTCGAGTGATGGATTGACCTTGATTATGAGCTCATCGGACGGCTTCTGTTCATCGCTGTCGTTTGCACCGGGGGAGCTGGGTCAACAGTATAATGCCCCGACGGCAACGGCACAGCATGCTGGGATTTCTAGCGCACAGGCGGCCGCGGGTCACACCAGTGTGCCCCCGACGAAACCGAGTCCAGCTGCGCCAGTCACCGCCGCGCAAGCACCTCCGGCAAGTCCGGCGCGCTCTAACTCCGTGTCATCAGTTACCACGCAGCCCCCTGCGCAGCAAGCCGCGGGATCCGTGGTTAATAACCCAACGCTTACCCTGGGCTCCGTGCCGCTTGTGACGGCGACCAACTCCTCGCAACCTCCCACGCTTCCACTGTCTACACCGCCGCAGACCCCCATGTCTACAGTCTCTCAGAGTGGGACAAGTTCAGTCAGCAACAGCGTCCTAGGCAAACGCGCGGGCGAGTCCGAAAAGGAGGATGAGCAAAATTCGGTTCCACAGGTACAACAACCGAAAAAGAGGCGAGTAGCACCGACTCTTGTTTCAGCAGGGACCGGGAATGGCTCTTCCGCAGGCAACGAGTCGAATAATCCGGACCTTGGTAGCTAAAGTGCTATTTTTTTTCACTTTCTTTCTTACCTTTATTCTTCATCCTTCCCCGTTTGCTATGTTTTCTCATTTCTCTCCTATGCTATTTTAAGCCCTGCTCTCCTGTTCCCTGTAGAACGGATGGGTGACCCCTCGAGGGACAACGGCGTCTTTTCCCTCTTGACCCGACGAGATGATTGATGGTGTTTCCTGCTGTTCCGTAAGATCCCAACTGATTGAAACGTTTTGACCCACCTGGAGTTTTCGATTGTGATTGTGATTGTGACTGTTGAACGAAGACGAGGACCTTGTTAAACTTTTGTCTTTTTTATTTCCTTACTTATATCAGGGATATCAGTAATCCGTCATGTTTGTGTCTTAGGTCCTGTATCTTGTTTCACATCTTTTCTCCCCCTCCTTTCTTGGCGCATTGTACTTTTTACTTTATATATCTCTTGTGAGATTTCGCCTTTTGATTTTT